GGTGAGGACCTGACAAGACCAGGAGGGCTTTGCGGGAGCTTAGCCCAGACCCTGGAAAGAAACCCCAGCCCTTCCAAGGGGTGGGGCTGGCTGGGGGGCCCTGAGGATGCCCCTGATGGGGGCTGCTGTGGTCCTTCCCGGACTGCTGGTAGATAAATGTAACATGAATAAACAATAGAAAAAAAATCATTATTTTATACGAGGGAACATCTGCCCTTCTCTGTCCAAGGAAAGTGTGTGACCCAGTACACTTGGAAGTGGAGGTACCTCCTCTCCCCTCCTCGCCGCCACTGTGCAAGGACCTCCCCTTGAAGGTGAGGTGAGAAGCCGTTCTCCCGTCACCCATCCCTTGCCTCCTCCCCCAGGGCGTTCTGCGGTGACCACAGCCCCAGGCAGAAGGTGGAGGCAGTCCCCGAGAAGGGGACCTGCTGCATCATCTGCCAGGAGGCACTAGATGACGACCACCCGTCCTTCTGCACCCTGGTGTGCCCGACGTGCCAGCACGCCTGGTTCCACCGGCGCTGCGTCCAGGTGGGAGTCCTTCCCTTGCCCCCACGGCACAGCCGGCACTCGGCAGCACCAGGGCCTCACCCGTGCTCCTTCTGGTTCTCCCGCAGCGGCAGGCCATGTGTGCTGGCAGGTGTTTCCAGTGCCCGCTCTGCCTGGACAGGCAGGCATTCAAGCGGGAGATGCTCCGCATGGGCATCCACGTCCCCAACTGGTCGGTATTTTTCCTTCCCAGCTCTCAAGGCAGGAGGGTGCAAGTGCTGTGCCGTGCCGGGGCTGCCCCGATGTCCTGGCCTCTGCTCTCCTGTGACTCCAGGAGAGCAGGGACGCCGGCATCTGCCTCTTGCCGGGGCACCAGGGGCTCATCGATTTTCCTTCCTCCATCAGACCACCAATATGGGAAACCATTGAGGAATACGCACCGCTCATGGTCAGGCACCGGCGCTGCGACGCCAGTGAGTGCCTCTGCCCAGGAGGAAGAGAGCAGGCAGAGGAGGAGGGGTAAGTGTCCAAAACTGCCCCCGGGGGCTCTGCACAGGGAGCTCTCTCTCCTCAGGGGCTCCAAGCAGAGCGACTGAGAACAAGAGCTCTGCCGGACAGTCCTGGGCTGCGGCCACTTTGTCCTCACAGCCGCTTCCCCATTCGCTTCTCCAGGCCCTGGCAACTCCTCCTCTGCTGCTCCTGTGCTGCAGAAGGCACTCACCGAGGGTGCTCCCACCTGGGCACCAGCGCCCAGAGCTGGGAGTGCGAGGGCTGTGCTGGTCCGGGCGCCGGTAAGAGGAAAGCCCCGGAGGCCGGGCAGAGCCTCTCTGCTCCCCCAGGGCTGGGGCCGGCCCTCTGGCGCTCCAGGCCCTTGACCTTCCCGCTTCTCCTTGCAGCC